GGACCAGATCGTGGCCGTGTTCGTGGTCACCTTCGACCCCCGCACAGGTGAGGGGCGCCGGTGGCGGCGGGGCCGGCGTGGGGTGGGGGGGTGGGGGGGGGCAGGCCGGGGCCTGCGGTGGCCGGGCCTGGGGTTCCCGGTGCCGCTGGTGTGAGATGGATGTGGGCTGGGAACCGGCTGCGGGAGCGGGACTCCCGTGGAGAGCGGCCTGCGGGAGCCGGGCTGCCCCCTGCCCGTACCGGAGAGTGCTGCTTCGCGGCCGGCCTCCCGAGCAGCGCCGAGGGAGCGGAGACGGTCAGGGTCTGCGTTTTATCTCCATCCCACCGAGAACTTCGGAGGCGAGGAAGGTGCCGCTCCGAGGAGAGCGGTGACCGGCGGGGGCGGGGGTAGCTCCGCAGCAGGACACGGTCTGGAGATTCTGGGGATGGTGGCGGGGCACCACCTGCCGCCCGCACGGCATCCAGCCCTAGGGCCGAGCGCTGCCTGGGGGGCACCAACCTGTTAGCAGCATCCCCAGAGCATCCTGCGGTGCCGTAGCTTGGCATAGACCTGCCTGCGGCTGTCAGCGATGGGTGACGGCTATGGCAGGCATCAGTCTGGCAGGGGTACAGAGCGTGATCCCCAGCAGCAGCAGCTCGGCTATGTATTTCTTGGTGGCCTCTGTGTTTAGAGGGTGGCTTCTGGTGGGATCTCTGGGACCCTCAGTGCTTTGAAGTGTGATGCTACAGCCCAGGAGGGCAGAGGAGTGAGGGAATGTGTTTTCCACCTTTATTCGTTTATAAAACCCATCTTTTCATTTCAGAAAAGATCTTGTTTTTCTTAATCTTGCTGCTGTATTGGTATCCAGGAAACAGGGCATTATGACACAGAAGGTTAGCACCTGCCGCACATCTGTTAACACAGGTACTGTGCTTTAGGAGGCCAGTGCTCCAGGACAGATCATTGGGTCTTTCTGCTGCCTAGCAACAACCTGGGGTGCAAAGGCTTGTTATGACCAGAAAGTTTAGGAAGTAGCTTGGGAGATGCAGGAATCCATTTGCATCCCGATGTGGGAGTGAGCTCCTCTTTCCTCTGTAGGCCAACACTTTATTAGCAAATCCATAGCAGAAGTGCTAGGGACAGGAAAGGGCTCTGTGAACCGTGGCAGGGTTTGTCATGGAGGGGGCAGGTGACTGGCATTACACTCACAAGAGGGTCATGATAGTGAAGACTGAATCCTGGTCTTGAGCTGAAAGTCTCAAAGAAGTAATGAAGAGGACAGAGCCCAAGTGTGACATGCTGTCAGAAATGCATGCTGTGAAACGGCATGGCCACTGTGTCCTAAAACACCAAAGGGCTTTCAAGAAGTTACCCCCCTGCAGTCTGGAGGTCAGAGGCTCTTGACTCATCAAAATCCACAATGAGACTGGATGCCATCTTTCCAGCAGGAGATGGGAAGGGGAGGTGTTTCTCCTAAGTATCCAAAACATGGAAGCGTCAGGATGACTGCAGCAGCAACAGGTTGTCTTTCGATCCGAGAGCATATGCCTTGTACAGAATGGTGAGATTTTCTGGTCGGCAGAAAGCTGAGCTTTCTCAGGAGCTTGTCTGAACCAGCTGTTGCTTTGAATGGAGTCCAGGGAAAGTTGGGAAACAGCTCTTCTCACATCTGATGTGCAGTTGATGCTTGGTGTCATCACCCTTGGAGCACTCTGTCAAGTCCAGTGAGATTCAGCTTCCTGCTGATACTCAACATGGATACGGAATGTAAGGAGGCATGATAGGACTGTGAGGAACACATGACACCATCACAGGTGGAGTGCAGAGTGCCTCATGGAGGATGATGACTTGGAGAAAAGGTCTTGAAGCTGCAGTAGTGTGAACTCGTTAGGGTCACAAAGAGGATACGGGAGTGCTGGGTCAACCACATCAGATGGCATGAAGAGCCTTCTTGTCAGTATGTGTGACTTGAAGATCTGCCAGTCAGCATCTGAGCTGGGAACCTGCTTGCTCCTGTCCAGGAAAACACAGCAGATCTCCTTTGCTAGCTTGTTCAGGAATGCAAAAGGCTGAATTTCTGGTGGTGGCTGAGGGTTAGTTGTGCCAAGTAGTGTCTGTGCAGTTACAGACAAGCAACTGATGTTTTACTGTAGAAGGATGAAGTGGTAACTATGCTACTAAAGAACCTAACAGCTTTCCTCCTAAATTTAGAAGGGCTTGAGGCAGACAAACTCGTGTATCTAGCAGCTGCATGTGAGTTAGTGAAGGTAAGTAATGGGGTTGCCAGGCCACTGTTACAATTTCAGTGCCCAGGGACTCTTACTGAAGCTTGTGTGCATGGCTGAACGTGAGAGCCAGAGGCAGCTTCTAAATCAGCAGTACTGTCCTCACCTCCAGCAGGGCAAACCTTGTGGCACTTGAGAAGCAGCTCTTGCACTGATGCAGAAAGTGAACCGTACATTAAGTTCAGAACGGTGACAGCCAGGAGCCAACAGTGCCATCATCTCATTGCTCCCTGCCCTTTGGCAGCCCCCTCCTTTGGGGAGTGAGGAGTTGGGAATGCTCTGACACCTCAAAAGGTGTGAGCACCAGGTCTGCACAAACACTGCCCCTTAAAAGAGCATGGTCACAAGGGGCTTTAATGAGGCTGCTGGATTTCCTTGTGTGGGTGGTCCCTCGGGCAGGTAGTAACAGAAGACCCAACACTGTTTTGGGCAGCAATGGGGATACATGTGGTAGGTGTGACTTACTTGGCATTAGGTTCAAGTACATGTGCTTTACAAAACTCATCTTGGGTAAAGAAAGTGAAGAAAACAGTGGAACAATAAATTTTTCTCTGAAAGATAAAAGAAGATGAACTGAAGTCCATGGCCACATCGACTGTGTCAGATCAGGATAGCTGAAAAGAGGCTGAACCTTCTTAGTCTTTTTCTGTGATGGAGATGATGATAGTCAGCCTTCTGGAGGTCCCACACTATCTGTTGGCTTAGAAGGTGGTGTGAGTAATGGGGGGAGACATGGAGGGAAGAGAGGGAAGTAGTGTGTATTGCACCAGTGAACAGGCAAATATTGTGGTTTTCTGTCCCGCATTTCTTCCAGGCAGGAAACAGAGCCAGAGTGACAGCTAAGTCACACTTTGTGCCTCTTGTGTCCGGGCCCAGCACGGTAGTATAGCACAGCTGGGGACCTGAAAGATCTAATGGTGAGGAGAGCCAGGTGATGGCTACCAAATGCTAGTGCCACCTTCATTTCTGTAAGGATGTGAGAATCCAGAGAAGAGAAAATATAAGAGAAAGAGGAAGAACATCCTTAACTTTGCACACGAGAAAGAGAGTGCTGCTTCTGACCTGGCGTGGAGCTGGGAGATAGCTCCCAGGAGATTTCCAGATTTGACTCTCAGCAAAACCACTCGCCCGCTTCCTAACGCTGGGTGACTTTCACTGGGGAAGTTTCCTGTGCGCACGAGACCTGTTTCTGCTCAGTGAAGGGCAGTGCTTCCTGTTTTTCCACAATTGCTCCCTCCTCCGGTTTCTCAGGCAGGCTGGGAGCCACTGCCGTGTCTGGGTGAAGTCTCTCCTTTGTTTGCTCTGCTGTTTCACCAGACTGACTTCCTTAGTTCCCTTTCTTAGCCCCGTGTTTGTTCTGCGAGTGCCACGTCACCCGTACGTCCATGGGGCAAGGTGGTGTGAGGAGTGCCAGGAGCACAGGTGTAGGCTGCTTGTCACAGATCCCAGGGAAAAAAAAAATGGCTGGATGATGTGTGAGTTGGTTTTGTGGTTACACAGAGGGCAAGGAGCTGTTTCAAGGTGTCTTTCCCTTACACACTGCTACAGAACAGGCATTGTTTGCGCCATGTCCACTTCAACACCTCACTGGTGGGTATTAAACCTGACAGTAAGTAGTGTTTGTGACTAAGCTAAACAAAGTCGGTTTCCTTTGCTCGCTGGTGCTCTTGCGTATCAATCTGTTAATTGGTAGGTAATAACCAATAAGTGCTTCTCTGCGATGCGAGATTTAAAAGCGGATCTAGCGTTAACCACAACTTTGTGGTTAAGAAGGAGCTAGGAGTTGCCTTCTTCACCCTTTCAAGGAAGGGTCTTGTGCCTTTAAAAAGAAAACCAAATACACACACATACGGAACCCCCAAACAACAAAGGCCAATATCTATATATAATATGCAAACCCTACAGGGGACCGTGCAGGCTGACATGATGTCACTGGCTTTCTCTGCCAGCCTTTCACATGCCTCAGAGGCGAAGCCGCTTCACAGCAGAGCTCTGTGGTTCCACATGTGATTGCACAGAGGGGTCACGAGGCTGCCACCACTCCCCAGCCAGCCGGCTCCACGGGAGAGATCTGGTTGTGCACTGGAAGTGGTTACTTGGATGCAAAACTTCTCGTGTTGCCATGCTTAACGCTGTTGTTTGGGGATTTGTTTTGAAGTCCTTGCCAGGCAGGGTTGGGGGAAGTCTGCTGAACACAGTATCTATGGAGAAGAAAAATAGCCCATTTAAATGTCAGCAGCTAAGCCCGATTCCTGTGTGAGAGTGCATGCATATACTTGTGAAGTATGAGTAATGACACACAAGACAGGCTTCAGAAATTTAAAGATATTTAAATATCTTTAAAAGTCTCAGCTGGGTGTAAGGCTCTTCCAAATGTCCAGTCCATGGGATGCTTATCCCAAAGGGCAGGAGAAGGACAGTACCCGTATAAAGTATCTTTGCGCTGCATCTGCTATTTCATTATACTGAAGAATGCTTGTTTTGTTTTTAAAACTAAGCCACATTACTTCAAATGCTGTTGCTATGGGCAGGCTGGCAGAGGACAGAAACTCAGTGTGTAAACCTGGAGCACATCTCCGTACAGTGGGAGTGTCCAGAGGAGCAGGTTAGACTCCAAAGTGCTGGGATGGGAAATCGTGAGAAGTCCCCTTTTTTGTCCATGATAAACTTGGCGGTGGCAGAACAGGACTTTAGGGACTCCTTGTGACTTCTCTGATCTCACGTTCCAGGATCAGGATCCTTGGGTGGCCTTTTCCCCTGAACAACAGTGTGCTTTCTGGCCGGTTTGGCAGGTGACAGATGTTTCCCAATCTTGATCTAGCCTGTAATTTATGTGGGTTTTGTTTGGTCATTCTAGCGTGCACAGACGTGTTGCAGTACTCTGATCACCTCAGCCTCCATATAAAGGAGGATCCTCCTATCCTAAACGAAATGTGAGAGATTCCAGGGAAGTAGTGGTGTTTGGGATGCTAGTTTAGGGGTTCCTGTTTGACCAGCCCTGCCAAGCACAGCCAAAGGACAATGCTGATGGTCGTATGAGCTATCACGGAAACTCATCCTGAGAAAGAGCAGCAGCCTATACTCCAGATGCTTTCTATAACATACTCATGCAGACAGCCTGCGTGGAACAGCACTAATACCTCATCCACTGTCAGGTAAAATTGTAGCTGCTCTGTGATCAAACTTATAAAGCATAAACCCACAAAATAGCACTAGCTTCAAAAATGGCTCTAGAAGTCCTGCAGTATCTGGGTGTTGTGCTGCAGTAAGTAACATTCACAAGATCTGTGTGGAGTATAGTATGTTAGCTACTGCCCGTGACAATTTGGGAGTTTAGGAGTTGCATTAGTGCACTGTTAATGGTGATGTAAAAGCAGCGACTTGCTGGTGTTTGTCCTTTTGGAAATGAGTTCAAGTTTACCTAAATAAATGTGCTTCACTGCAGGCAACATGGTGGAGTGGTGTTTACCCCAAGATGTTGATTTGGAAGGCGTGGAATTCAAATCTATGGCAAGTGGGTCCCACAGAATCCAGTCGGATTTCATGTGAGTATGTCTCATCTAAATTACTTCTTTCTTACCTCTGTATCTACACCACCATCCCTTAATTCAGAACATGCAAGAAAATTACCACCCATAAAGTTAAGTCCTGCATAAATGTGCTGCTAAACTGTACCTAGCTGAGCTGAAGTCCTCTTCAGATACTGTCAATATCATACGAAGTACCAGCGAGCTGTGGGGATCTGCTGTATGACAGCTTTGGCTCTGGAGGCCAGCTTGTGAGTGGGGCAGGGCAGCTTTGCAGTGGTGTGCAAAGTTGAATGGACATTGTGCAGATCGTACTGCACTGCCACTGTTGGGACTGTCAGCAGCGGCCTAGGGAGAAGGGAAAAGAATTGCAGAACTGAAATGGGAAGGATTTTACAGGAACTGGACTTAGATAAAGATTCTTAATTCTGCCAATGCTTTGGGTCCTTTAAATGTTGTGCTGTGTGCTTGCTCACTTTCTTTGACAGCTCCCTCCTTCAGTGGAAAGAGAGAAGCTTGGAATTTTCTTCATTCCCATCCTGTTACTGACCCAGTGTTGCAAAGCAGCAGTGTTTTGCAGTGAATTGCAGTGTCACGGTTCCTTTTGGTCAGGAATAACAGTTACTTTCTCAAAGGCATGTGAACTGAACATTTGCACTCAGCTAGAGCATGCTTCAATGTGCTGGCACCCAAATTATGACTAGGTAGCTAGACTACACTCCAGACTTGATGCACTGCAGGCTTTTCTTCCTTGAAAGAGGGGAACTGCGTTGAATGTCCTGTCTTGTTCTTGAGAAGACCAGGACACCCAAGGTCTGTCCTCAGCCTTTCAGGTAGCACAGTGGGATTTAAGGGGGTTCCTTAAGAAGGAACTATGTTCCCAAATCAATATTTTAGTGGTCAGTTACCTTGCTTTCTTCCTTTTCCCTCTTTTTTAACATTAATCCTTTTGTCAAACATTTGTTTCCAGTTATTTCCGGAAAGGGCTCTGTTTTGGCCTGGCCTGCTTTGCCAACATGCCTGTGGAGAGCGAGCTAGAGCGTGGTGCCCGCATGAAGTCCGTGGGGATTCTGTCCCCTTCCTACACCCTGCTGTATAGGTACATGCACTTCCTGGAGAACCAGGTGAGGTAAGTTTTCTTGGGAATGGGACTGGCCACTCCCTGCCAAGGAGAGGTAGTAATGTTGCCTCGATGGAGGGCAGTTTTAGGCATGAGAATTTGACTACAACGCTGAGCCACGATTTCCTTGAATGACTACTTCTCTAGAAAGAGTTACATGTTCACAATGGGAAGGAGACAAGGAACTGGTTAGCAGTAGCCTGTTCATTGCTAACAGGCTAGTCAGATGCGTTCCAAACCCTACTTGCTTTGTGTAGATGTAAGTGTCGGGGAGAGCTGAGAGGACAAGAAGTTTCACTGTTCTTCTGAAAACCATTTTACTAAGGACTCACAAAAGGTTTCTAAATCTGCAGTGGTGATTGTGGCTAGCTGTGTGTTTCAGCTGTGTTGAGTGGACCTGTTTCTACCTAAGCGTATTTAAAACAGGACCAGTACTACGCAGACACCAGCTGACTGTCTGCTTCCATCTGGCTGCACTGAAAGCTGGTGTTACTCCTGACTCTTCAGCTGCCCTCCTGGATAAGTCTGTGCAGCTGAGACACCCAGGGTTCCTTTGCTAGCTGGGTGGCAAGACACTGAATAAGTAGAGACTGGAGACACTACAGACCTCTCCTTTTTTACTTTCTCTTCCAGACACCAGTTGGAGATGCCAGGGCACTACTCCCATCTAGAGGCATTCTATGATGACAAGAAAGGAGTTCTCCCCAGTAGCAACGGCACCTCCAACTCTCAGCAACCTGTCCACTGGCTGCCATCCATCCACAGATACATGTACCCAGAGATGAAGGTGAGGCAAGGTGCTCTGAGGCTTGCAGGAACGGTCAGTGTGCTCCTGCTTCTTGCTGGTGTCTCATACTTCTTTATGTAAGCAGTGACTCCAGCACTTTGTGGGCTGCTTTAAGTAAGATTTTGTTACTTGGACTGTTGAAAGCTGCAGTTCTCTGTCATTGCTGTGTGCTGGTCTTGCTCCCACATTTAGACTTAGCATCTGTGCATGTGTCCCTGATTCACCTCTGAGCTGTTTTCTTCCCTTTCCCTCCACCTGCAGATCACACACCCTGCTGGCTGTATGTCTCAGTTCATCAAATTCTTCGGTGAGCAGATCCTTGTCCTCTGGAAGTTTGCCCTGCTGCGCAAGCGCATATTGATATTTTCACCACCCCCAGTTGGAGTTGTCTGCTATAGAGGTATGTTTCCAGGGACACTGCAGAGCTCTGTTCTAGTAGGCTGAAGCACTGCAGAAATGCCTGTGGGTACTGAGGGGACAGACATCCTGCAGAGGTATCCATTGCAACCATTTGCCCATTTCCTGCAAAATGCTTTTCTTCAGATCTTTTGGGTAAAGACATACCTGGCACTGTTGAACGCAGTTCCTGTCAGCACAAGACAATATTGTGCTGAATGAATTTGTGGAAACTAGAACATGGGATTAAGTATTCAAGGCCTGGCTGGATGGGGCATTGAGCAACCTGGTCTAGTGGAAGGTGTCCCTGCCCATGGCAGGGGGTTGGAACTGGGTGAGCTTTAAGGTCCCTTTCAACTCAAACCATTCTGTGATTCCTGTGGGAGAACTGATTGATTATTTCTTATCCAAAACAGCATCTCTCCACTTGAGAAGTTCTGGTGTTCAGAGGCATTAAGTTCTAAACATTGTTCTCAAAAAAGTGTATGGGAGAACTGTGTAACTGGGCTTCAGAATACCCTTGAGGGAATACTGAAAGCATCTCAGGATATACTTCTCTTGTCTGCAGTCTACTGCTGCTGTTGCCTTGCCAATGTTTCTCTGCCTGGTCTTGGAGGAACTGTCCCAGAGTCCAAACCATTCTTCTATGTGAATGTGGCAGACATAGAAATGCTGGAGACAGAAGTATCCTATGTGGCCTGTAAGTATGATGGATTAGGTGTGAAGTTAACTTCAGGCTGTAAAGTGTCTTGAGACACCAGACTGTGGAATAAAACTGATGAGAAACTGGATGTGTGTGGAATGACTAACTACGAAAGCAGGAGAGAACAGTTGGTCTGCTGGGAAAGCAGCAAGCTGCTCTGAAAATCTTCTCTGATTTTGGCAGGCACAACAGAAAAGATCTTTGAGGAGAAACGGGATCTCTATGATGTCTATGTGGACAACCAGAATGTGAAGACGCATCACGAGCATCTCCAACCACTCCTGAAAATTAATAATGCTGACAAGGAGAAGTACCGGCGGCTCAATGACCAGAGGTAACAATGGACTTCTGGGTGGTCCTGATAGGACAGCAGTGTGATGTGGGATAAAGAGGACACTGCTCCTTTGTACTTTGTATTTTCAGAGTTGCGCACTGCTTCAGGTCATCTCTTTGAGATTCTGGTTGCACTGAAGCTGACTGGTATGAGAGCCCCTGGGCACTCTGCACACATACAGTCACTGCACTGCACTGCACATACAGTCACAGCTGATGGAGCAGGTAGAGGGCAGGAACTGAAGCAGAGGTTGTGACTCACCATTCGGTCACCAACGATCAGTAGCACAACTGCAAACAGCCTGCTTTTGAGTCCGGTGCCTTAAAAGACTACCCTGTTGCTTCATATATTGGGGCAAGACTGTCAGTCTGATTGGTCTCCAAGAAATGGACGTGATGTTTTTAGTTGTACTTGTCTTCTCAAAATGCTTCAAGGTTCACTGTAGGTATGTGCAATTAAACTGTCTCCCTTCTTTCAGGCAGATGTTAATGTATTCTCAGGAAGTGGGTGATGATTGTAACTCCTGTGAAGAGGACCTTTTCATCTTGTGAGTAGCTACCTCTTAGTTGGTCTCTGTTAGAGAGCTGAGCCTCTTTCACTGATTTTTATGTTGCGCTGGTTTGGTATATTATGAAACATCACGGTTAACACAATTCCATAGTCAGCTCTCTTCCTCAAGGGATCCAAGAACCAAACTGACCCTTCCTCTTCAGGTCACCTTCCTTTCAATTTGACAAGCCAGATGCAGCCATATATGTCTCCACTGGAGTCTCTTAGGTGCTGGGAGGGAGAAGGAAATTGTAAAAACACAATTAGAAATGCAGGAATCCCCTCCCATTTTTTAAAACCTAAGCACTATAGGACCTTTCATGCCAGAACATTTGGTTCAGGAAAGAAGAGTGCGGGAAGCAGGCACTGTACTGTGCTGGGGGAGGTACATTGTGGAGATAAGAATGCATGTGAAAGATTGACCCATTGATGTGTCTGGCTTTGTACTTGGCAAACAGAGGAACCAGAACTGGGCATAGAGTTAGAGGTATGGAATTAGATGAAAACCACACCTCTACCACTTCTGAAGCCCTTCACTGCCTGTTGCTATTGTTCAGAGTCTGCAGCAGGAGGCAAGTAATGGGATGAAACTGTGTGAAGGGCTGTCAGGACAGAGCTCTGATGGTTGAACTGTGCGGATGTAGTCAGAGCTCTTTCTGAACAGCCTTGCACATTCCTAGGAAAGCACTAGGTCAGAAGTAGCTCTCACTGCTGTGTTCTGCACCAGTAATGGAGAATTTATTTACCCAGTGGCTTACTAATGGATGAGAATACCGCTTCCTCCTTTGCATTATGGGAGCTATAGGTCTGGTGTACCCACTTGGCTACCACAAAGTACACATTAGCTGATAACGTGGCTTACTTCTCAAGAGTCAAATGCCTAGCATAAATCATCAGCCCGACAGAAGCACTGCTATAAATTGAAAGTTACTGCTTTATCTTTGTTTATTCTAGGTCACCCATAGGGCGTCACCTAAGAAGGTGGGATCTATGATAAAAGGGGGTTAAATGCAGTTCTGGGGCTCTGCTGTCTGTTTGGTAAATATGCTGTCTTTTGGGGGGTCCAACGCCATCATCTTAAGCTGACTTTATCCTGTAGGTTTTTCATGGAGCAGAACAACCGCATATTTCAGACGCTGATGGAGGTGTCGGCCAGCCAGGACAAGACACTGACAGCTGACCATGCACGAGGCATGGGCCTGGATCCCCAAGGGGATCGAAGTTTCCTTTTGGACCTGCTGGAAGTATATGGCATCGATGTTATGCTAGTTATTGACAACCCCTGCTGCACTTAAACCATGGGCAAGAGATGGGGAGCAAAGATCACTTTTTAAAGACTACCAGACATTGCTTAGGAGGATCACTGGAACTCGCCGCAGCCACAGTTACTAAATAATATTAAAGGGAGAATATTTATAATTTTAAAACAAAATGTGATTTTATTTTCTCTCCCTCAACCTCCCAGTGAGTACCTGCTCCAGGTTTGGTTTTGTTTGGTATTCGGTTTTGTCTTCCTTTCTCTTTCATCTGTGTTTTGTTTTTTGGGTTTTTTTTTGTTTGTTTAGATAGGACCAGGGGCATGTTTGCAGCAGTCTTTGCTGTTGCCAGTGATAGCTAGGGTTTGGCCTAGCCTGGATACCTGAGGGCTTAAGGCTTCAGGAAAGCACTTTGTCTGATAGGGACCAATGTGAACTGCTGTAACTGAGCTCTCAAGCCTTGACTGGAAAACCCTCCTATCATCCCCTCTTCCACCTGGGGACTGAAGAGAGCTTCAGCACAACTCAGTCTCATAAAACATCTGTCCTACCATGTTTATTGGTGGGGACAGTTAAGCCAATGATAAAAACTAGGACTCCTTTAAGCACTCCTCACCAGCTTCTAGCAGTTGAGTTGGAATAAAGCTACCCGTCCTCATCAGTGGCAGAAGCAAGTTTGGAATAAGGGGGTGCTACAGGACCTTATGACTTTGCTTGCCAGAGTGGCACGGTTTCACTTCCAGCATCTGAAGTGGTATAAACTGGCAAAGACTACACCTACCCTATCTCATAGCTGGAGAAGAGCACCATCTCTACATGATCCCTCCTACCACTTCTTCTGGTCTTCAGTTGCATCACACCTGCTGCTTTGGTTTAAAATCTTCAAACTAGCAAGATGGTCTCCCATTTAAGAGGGACCAATATCACTGAGCCACCTTGCAGTCAGTATGTTCTCCAGCCTCAGTTTGGATGGCGCTGGGCTGGACTGGGTTGAATAAGTATGCTTTAACTAATGTCACTAGCCCTTCCTTTGTAGCACATGGTACTTGTCACTCCTTTGCTTTAAAACTGTCTGCTGATCCACTTTTTGTCAGGCAGCCTTCAGCACTGCCTGCAGCTGTCCTTGGCTTTCAGTGTGATGCAGAGTGCCTTCACAGTTTGCAGGAAGTTCCCTTTGAGTTTGGTGTTCTTAACTGGCACAGCTGCAGTGTCTAACAGCAAACCTTTTTTTTTCCTGGATAGAGAAGCAGTAGAACCATAAGAACAGTGTTTTCTTCTTGTGCTGTGGAAAGAGTAGGATTCAGTTCATGCAGGACCAGTGGTTACCTCCACAAAAGCTATCCCAGTAAAGAGTAATCCCTTTGCTGTGTGAAATCCAAGAATGGTACTGTGGGTTTTAGGTGTGACATCCTGCTTTGCCCCAAATCCTTTAGTCAGTAGAAGCATCAGCTTTAAGCTAACTGTTCTTCCTGAACTTTGGCTATAGTTAATTAGCTGCTGCTTCTACCATAACGGACTTCAGCACCCTTGGAGGCTTTCAGTGGTTTGCAGGAATGTAAACTGTAGCTGACGTATCCATTTATCCTACCATTTTGTAGACTCTCTGTGGCTTGTCTCCCTCTGGAAGGAAGGAGGCTGGCATGGCCTGTTTTTTCTTGAAGGCTGTCAGCAGCAAAGGGGTAGTTTTGCTTGCTGTGGATTCAGAGGTTTTAGTGCCATGGGGAATTGGGGGCCTCACAAGGCTTTTTGCACAGTTCTTGGTACGAGCTTCAGCATATTCTGTTCCTGTGATCTGCCCGTCTCCGAGCAGTCACTCCCCTGCCAGCTTTTTCAGGGCTTTCGATGGTTTTGGGTGTTACAGGATAAAACGTGCTACTGCTTGTATTGCCAGTTGCTCACAGCTCTAATGTTATCATCCTTAGAAGGTTGGGGGGAAAAGGGAGAAAAAGGGGAAGAAATTGAGAAAGAGAAAACCAGAGCTGAGTATCATTAAATGCAAAGATTGGTCTCTTTTCCTTAAGAAAAGGCTTTGGTTTTAAATTGGCACCTCTAGTATAAAAGTGAGCCACAGTCTCCATGTTTTTTTTCTAACCTCCACTTCAGTTGTAACATGCTGTCTGCAGTGAACATGAACATACATGAGGAAGTGTAGCTGTCACTTACTCGATTTCCCTCAGATACAAAAAAAAGGAACTGAAACTAGCAATTCTTCCTCTCACTTTCTTGAAGGTTTGCTACATAGTTGAGCTGTGGTCAGCTGTTAATGACTTTCCGTTCTCTTTGATGTCAGTCTTCTTTTGCTGAACTAACTAGAAACAAACCTTTGTCATTGAAATTTTACAGCCTTTGCAGCTGGAGGCTTTCTAACAACTTGCATTAGAGCACTCTGTTCACAAGCTGTCAGAACATCAGGTCTACTAGATAGCACTGCTAAGAGCTTAGAGAGCTGAGCAGAGTCTCATGAAATTACTATTTGACATTTATTAAACTTCTGCTTTCCCGAAACTAGGTCTTCAGCTGCTGGCAGGAGTGTGGGTGCAGAAACATCAAACCAAGCAGGTTATTGTAAAAGTAGCATTCATGCTACATCCTGTCTGGGTGGCTACAGCCTGTTTTGCTCTTCTTTGTAACACTGCTTCTCTACAGCCTCTCTTGGCAGGTGACCGCTATGAAAGTCAGGAAGTTGCCAGACAGAAAACAAGAAGATGATCTCTCTCTCCTCATCCTTCCTTGTTTAATTTGCTGCAGAACTTTCCACCTGCACTCTCCTTTTCTAACAGACACTGCTGTTGGTGCTGTCACATGTGGAAAAAAAATCCTTGATAAATGGGTACATAATACAAACAAATGGCTACAGCTTGGGACCTGATGGCTTGTTCAGCAGGCTGGTTTCGTCTGGAACCAATTTAATTGAATCTTACCTTTCCAGGAGATGACATAATTCGAGGTAGAACAGTTAAGTGCAGACATTTAAAATCCCCTCCTTGGCACTTAATACTTGCTCTTTTGAATACTAGCAGCTGGAAGGAAGGCAGTTACTGAGTGTATTTTGAATTAAAAGAGGCAGAAAAGCGTGGCATAAGGTAGGGTATAGCTTATTGCCATAAAATCTTCTTCTCCATACTTTGCCTTTACAGTGGTGCCTTCAGTTTCTGTGGTGTGAGGCCTCTGGTCAATTGCTTGTGATCAGAGCCCAGGTTGAATGGTGGTTACTGTAACCAGGTATATCCTGTGCCCTGGTAGACAGAACCTGGAATGTTCCTCTCTAACAAACACCCAAGGCATAGTATAGCCACTGCAGGTTCTCAGTTGGTACTCACTTGAGTTTAAACAGCAGAGCAAGAGCTTCATAACTGCATGTTAACTCAAGTTGCACTAGAAATGTATAATAAGAAGCAATGAATTATTACTACTTGTACTATCTCAATTGGAGCATAAAGCGTGAGAGAAATAAAAACTAGATTTTCAATCTGAACAAGGGATACCATATCAGACACTGAAAACATGCAAAAGTCTTCTCACTGCATGGTTAGGACAAGCTGCATAGAGCCAAGTACAACTAAGAACTAGAATGGATACTACGAGAAAGGCATTTTACTGAATTGAGTTTAGATTTGGCTTAGAGACTTCTTTTCTAGTATATATGAAGTAATTACTCCAATGTATGTTAGCGCCAATGCTCATGTCTGTCGCAGGAGATAAGCTCACCTATCCAGCATCGTTAAGGGTGGAAGAAAGTTCCATCACCTTTTCAAGAGAAAGCAGCTTACTCTACAGCATATTCTGTAAAGCAGTTACTGTGATACTGCTTCCAGTTTTAAAAACTGCCAAATTTAATGGGCAAAAGGTAGGAGTAGTTAATGGCCTTCCTGGGGACAGGCTATACAAGGGACAGGCATGTTTTGCTTCAAGACATAGAAAGGCAGCGGTTTCTGGAATCGTAGAGCAAGAGCACTCTGTCCTAATGCAGCAGTCTAGGTACAAAGCATGCACACTAACCCAAATTCTCTCATCCTAGCTGTTACTTCTAAGTAAGTTGATTGTTGTCTCTATCCCTGCCTACTGATTATGTTATCTTCTAACATAAATGTCTTTTGCAAGGGACTGGGATGTACTGACTTAACAGAATGATATATCTGTCTAAAACAGAGGGTGTTAAATGCCTGTGGGTCAGGATTTCATGTCCTGGTTAATGCAACATGCCATTCAAATGGGAGTGTTTAATTGTGGTTAAAATAAACAGGTGCCTTGGGCTGTCCATCCTTAAGTTGTTATCCTGCCTTTTTATTTATGTTACAGTATTCAAAGCCCTTCTAGAATGGACTGTAAGTTGAAGCCAGGATAAGCATTTTCAAGAGTGGGACCTAGGATTCTACTCGTCCTTCCTGTCTTGGAGTTTATACGATGTTTGTCTTGCTGTCAGACAGAAACATGAGAACTGAGCCCTTTTCTCAGCACTGCAGATAGCAGGTTCAGACCCTGATTATTTTATTTAATGCTTGCCTCACAAACCCCCCTCTCAATGTTGCAATTCAGAGGTCTAGAACCACCTCACAGTGGAAGGCCTTTGAACTATAGAGGAGGGGGGAAAAAAATGACTTGAATGGTATTTATACAAGCCACTCAACCTATGCTGACCTGAATATTTAATTATCAGCCTGCGTCTCAGATGATCTTTAGTACTTTAACATCAGTTAACTGGTATTTTAACAATACCAGTTCTGAAGGGAGCTCTCGGTTATCCTCAAGCAAGGAATCAGCATTGCAGTGGGAGCCATGCGTCTGATACTGTGGAAGAGAATTAGTTGTTTTCCCTGTAAAATGGTAGAGATGAACCAGAAGCTAGTTCTTACCATCTCACCTCTTGCAGCAGGCTGGTTGTAGTTATAACAGTTCTGATGTTGTCTGCATCTTGCAGATGTGTGGCTGCTTCAATAGGGCTGTGGCTGTGAGGAGAAACTGCTTACTAAAATATGGGTATTTTTTAATACAATTAAAGTGTATGTTTTTGAAATGGCTGCTGCCTTTCTGTCCTGCCACTTGAGAGAAATAAAACCAACATTGCTGATTTTATTAGAGAAGCATCAGCTTGAGGAAAACTTCAGTAAGGTGAGAACTGCCTCTGACTCTGAAGGAGTCAGTGGCTGCAGAGCAATCTTCCAAGTGTCTCTGTCGCACAGCCAACATACTCCTTGGAGAGTGACCCAGGGGGTCCACTGAGCACCCTTAACTGCTGCAGATCGAAAGACAGCACAACTTGGGCCCTATCACCAGCATAACTATTAAAAA